GAGTTGTACAGCATTTTATGTGAATAAAAATGCAGAAATTGAAAGAGGTGTGCCAAGATTGGTCATCAATTACAAACCTCTAAATGATGCCTTACAATGGATTAGGTATCCAGTTCCAAATAAAAAAGATTTGTTAGATCGTCTCCAGGATACTATCATATTTTCAAAATTTGATATGAAATCAGGATACTGGCAAGTTCAGATCGCTGAAAAAGATAGATATAAAACTGCTTTTACAGTACCTTTTGGGCATTTTAAATGGAATGTTATGCCATTTGGATTGAAAAATGCACCATCTGAATTCCAGCATATTATGAGTGACATTTTTAATCCTTATACAAAATTTGCCATATGTTATATTGATGATGTTCTTATCTTCTCTTCATCTATTGACCAGCATATGAAACATCTTAATATATTTAAGTATGTTATTATCAGAAATGGATTAGTAGTTTCAGCCTCAAAAATGAAATTTTTCCAAACTACAGTGAGATTTTTGGGCCATAACATTCATAATGGCACCATTATCCCAACCAACAGAAGCATGGAGTTTGCATCTAAATTTCCATACGAAATTAAAGATAAAACTCAATTACAGAGATTTTTGGGTAGTTTAAATTATATCCATGATTATTATCCTAACCTTGCTACCGATGCAACTATTTTATATTTTAGGCTAAGAAAAAACCCTTCTCCATGGGGTCCAGAACATACAGAAGCTGTTCAGAAGATTAAAGCTAGAGTTAAAACTCTGCCTTGTCTTTCTCTACCAAATCCAGATTGGAGAAAAATTGTTGAAACTGATGCCTCCAACCTTGGTTATGGTGGCATACTTAAACAATTTAATCCTAATAGTAAAAAAGAAGAACTTTTAAGGTTTACTTCTGATATTTGGCATTCAGTTGCTAAAAATTACCCGACAATAAAACAAGAATGTTTAACTATTATTAAATGTATTTTTAAATTCCAGAATGATTTATTAAATCAACATTTTTTAATAAGAGTTGATTGTTTCGCAGCAAAATAAATTCTTAAAAAAGATGTTAAGAATTTAGCTCAAAAACAAATTTTTGCAACATGGCAAGGCCAACTTTCAGTATTTGATTTTGATATTGAATATATCAAAGGAGAACATAATTCTCTTCCAGATTTCTTAACCCGTGAGGCTGGAAAGATACTGGAGCAGAGTGGGAGACAAAGAATTATTCTGCTTTGCCTTTTCCTTTGTCCTGACTCATCTTTTCTGGAATCAAACCTATAAGAGAATCTCAAAAATCGCCAAAGTTGGGATCAGTGTCTGTAGGGTCTTGTGATTCACCCGCCAATACTGTAAATTCATTTTCATCCAAAAGAGGATCAAAATGCTCATCTTCTTCATGGCCGCCATGGCTACTGGAACCAGACTTCATACTGGTATCATCTCTGGAAAAAGATTGCAAGAATTGTTCTTTCATAACATCCATACTTTTGATAATTAATTCTTGCTCAGATAATGTTGGAAACTTTTGTCTCAAATCATTTTGGATCTGGACAAAAGGGTTTTGTACTGGAGCAGCTGGGATGAGCTTAGGAGTAGCATCCCAGCAAGCCTGTGTATAGGCTTTGATTTTCTGGAGAAGTTCCTGGTGTGGTTTAGCAACATCCATTTTATTCCATCATTTATAAAAGAAAAACTCTTTTTAAACTGGAAATTTTATTCTGGAAATCCCATTTCCAAATCCACGGAATACCAAATTTGATAACAAAGTGAGCTCTAGATTTGGACATGAAAATATCCTTATAAACTGGAATTTTACTGTAAGCGACTTGCCATTCATTGAATGCAAGACGAATTGGTTTTGGAAAAACATCTAACTGTAACCCAAATTTATCCCACCAAACGAGAAACCAATTGGGGAGATCATTTTTAAGTATGTCGGGAAGAACACGGAAGAACCAAGAATGGCTCCATAGGGGATTCATATAGTAAAATGCTTGGGTAAAAGCATAAATATAATCTCAATAACTGTAATGAGATTCCTTATTACGAATCTTAATGGTTCTGGTAACATGAGGGTGCATCTAACTGTAATAATAATAATAATAATAATAATTATTATTATTATTATTATTATTATTATTATTTATGAAAAATGTAGACAAGTAGTGAATAATAAAAAATAAAAATTAATTCAAAAAATTATTTCACAATTTATTTAGCAAACACTAATCAATAACTTAAATCTATGATCCAACAGTTATACCAAACAGATTAATAGTTTCTGATTAAAGTCATAATTTATAATCTATTTTAAAAGTTACACCAAACGGGGCCAAAATAATGTTATATGCACTAATATTAATTAATGAGTTATGCCAGGACTCTAAATATTCTACCAAACCTCTCACATGATGTGAGACCCACATACATGTGAATTTGTGTGAATTTCACCGTGAGAGGATTGATAAAATATTTAGTAAAATATTTAAGGTACATACCATTTCTCTTAATTAATATATTAACAAATAATATATGGCATAATTCTAAATGTTTGAAAGTATTTATAATTTATATAATAAATAGCACTAATAATAATAACATAAAATATATTGATATATTAATATAATACCACCGTGCAGCATAAGTGCACAACAACCCCGAAATTAATTTCACGCTATTAATTGGGACCACCTAGGCTCTTCCCAAAGAGTAATGATTCATCCCCTTTTTCCCCACCCCCTTTGACCCCCTCTCTCTCTCATTGGTTACCTTTTCTTTTTCTTTTTCTTTTTTTTCCTGCTCCACCAAACACCCCTGCCACGTGGCAAAAGGGGGTGAGGGGGTGACCCCCAAAAGGGGGTCCCAAGCATTATTCCTTCCGAAAATGTCCCAGCTAGGTTGAATTTATCATCAATAATCTCACACACACTGTAATAACTGTATTTCTACGCCAAAAATGAGTTGGACGTGAGTGGAGGTGCTGGGGTCTTCTATCATTAGTTAATTTTTTTTTTTTTTATTGCCAGTTACGTGGAAGTGGGGGTGCTGGAGTGCCGCGGTACTGAGAGTCGGAATCACGGCTCATTTCTACGCCTTCAGAAATTTTATTCATAATTTCATAAAAAAAACACCAATACGTGTTTCACATTCATGATACACTAGAGTTATTATGTTATACGGATAGATTTTTTTTTTTTTTTTTTTTTTTTACAGAATAATATGGTGGTAGTTTTTTTTTTTCTCCAAAAATGAATTTATATATTATACTCTTGTTGAAAATGTAATATATTTTCTGAATTTTTTATGTGCTTTAAAATAATTTTGAGTTGTATGTTTAATTATGAGTTGTAAATTTTTATATTAAATATCAAATGTCACATCGACAATTCTTTACTCAAATCAAAATTCTTTTTAAAACTATTTTCAAAACTCTTTACCAAACAAATTTTCCACACTCAAATCATAATTTCAAACCTCACAAACTCATAATACAATTCAGTGTGTTTGGTTTGAGTTTTTTGGATTAAGTTTTTTGAAAACTAACTTTTTTGGTTTTCATATTTTTTTTTTGTTTTTAATGAATATTTTTAAAATTTTAAACATTTTTTTTACTTTTTTAGATACACCTTACTTAGATGTATCTAAAAAGTAAAAAAAAAAATTGTAAAAAAATATTTTAAAAAATTAATAAATACATAAAAATATAAAAAATGTACTGAATTCTTATATTTTTTTTGTATTTTTGGTATTTAGTGAATTTTTAAAAGATTTTTTTTTACAATTTCTTTACTTTTTAGGTGTATTTATGTTAGGTGTGTCTAAAAAGTAAAAAAATTACTTAAAATATTAAAAAAATTCAGTAAAAATAAAAAAACACGAAAAATAAGAAAGTAAAATTTTCTGAAAAGTGAAAACAAGCCAGGTGCTCTCAAATCATAATTACAAAACTCTACCAAATGTAACCTTAGATTCTCATTTTTATATCTTCTTACAAAATTATCATTAGTCCTTACAGGTCTCTCTAGCTTTCCTCCAATTTATTGTTTGGATCCTTAAGACCTACCATGAGTTTTGTTTTTACGATTCAAATTGTTTATTTTATCAAGTTCTTTGTATATATCGGCCCCATTTGGTAGAGCTGTGAGAAAGTGATTATAGCTTATAGCTTAACAGTTTATAGCTTATAGCTGTAAACATAAGCTGATTTTTGACTTATAAATTAAGCTTCTCTTCCCCACTCAAAGAATAAGTTGATTTTTGACTTACAAAAAGTTATAAGCTGTATTGTTAAGCTGAGCCAAATACATCAAAATAACTTAAATTAAACTAAAAGCTAAAATAAGCTGAAAATAAGTTCTACCAAACAAGGCCATCATCCAAAAATAAATTAAGTTAATTTAATAACCGTAATCTATTAAATTTATCATATTTATCTATTAAAAAAAAAGATTACAAGTATATTTTTAAAAATAGATCACTTATTTTTTTATAATAAAGTTAAAAAATTAAATATGTTATAATTATTAGATTAACTTATTTTGTGTGTGAATAATAATAATTCAAATTATTCAAACCAAATTAAGATGGATTATACGAGACGAACATAAACTTCCAATTCATCCCTCATTAAACAAACATTTGAGAAGTGAATTATAAATTAATTTTTTAATTTATTATAAAAAACAAAAAAAAAAAAAAAATTGAATTACAAGTTCCTAAAATCTCATCCCTAATATTTATCTATTTCCTAAATCACATAATCTATCAATACTATATACGGAGATGATTGAGGGCCGAGATTTCGGGGCTCGAATGCCCCGAAATTCCATTTCAAGTAAAAAAAAAAAGAAAAAAAAAGGAAAAAAGAAAGAAAAAAAAAAACAGTTTCCAAAAATGGAAATTAGGGGTATTAGGGACAACTTTTTTAGGGCCACCAATCCTTTTCCTTTTTCGTTAGCTTCATGTGTCATTTCCGTTGCTTCGCAAACCTCAAAAACAGTTGTCAAACTCAACCAGAGTCAAACTCCAGATGAAGCAGACTTAGCAGAGTGACCCCTCTACTTCGTCCACTTCTTCACTCCCAAATACCCATGAAAATAAAAAAGAAGAAAGAAGAAGAGGACGAAACCTATCTCCTAAAAAAGCACCCAAACCAGTCTCCAAACTAAACCCATCTCTTATGTTCTCTTTATTATTTCTAATTAGTACCTCATTTCTCCAACAATAAACCCACAATCAAAAGAAAGGGCAAGAAAAGAAAAAAGAAAAAAAAAATGTGTTATGTGGGTAAAGCAACAAAGATCTTCATCTTTATAATCACAGTGCTGGTGGTGACTGGTCTTCTCTTGGGATTTGGGCTTCTTCGCCACGCCATTCACACCAAATCCCACAAATGCTCCGGCGAATCTTGCCACCAGTCGCCGCCGCCGCCGGTTTTCCCCAATCCCAATCCCAGCCCTAGCACCACCACCATCCCCACCCCACCTTCCACTCCTAACCCAAATTTGGGTTCCAACCCCAACCCACCACCACCGCCGCCGCCGCCGCCGCCAGCTCAACCTACCCCAAACCCTGGCTCAACACCGACTCCACCTCTGCCTTCCCCTCCCCTTCCTCCTCCTCCTCCTCCGCCGCCTCCGGTGGTTGTTACGGCGGCTCCGCCTCCAACTTTCAGCCCTCCGAGCCCAGTGGTCACTCCAGGTCCAGTACAGGCTCAGTTGCTTTGACAGGTAGCTAGCTAGTCAAAAGTTCTTCCATTTTTTTAAGCATTGCCTTTTTTGGAAGTTTATCGTCTGTTTCTTCTCTCACCTTTTTTTTTTCTTTTGTTTTTGGAATTTTTGAATAATTCTTTGATGGGTTATTGTATAGAAATTTGAATGTTATTATTGTGATTTATGAATGGCGGATTTGCTTTTCTTCCTGATTTTTCTCTCGAGTGGAGTGATATTTTTACTTGACTTACAATTGCAGAGGACTATATGTCGTTAATTTTTATGTCAGATCCAGACCAGAGTCAAATTTATTGGACAACATTTGTCTCCTCAAAAGAGCAGAGTGTTTTTCGGTGAATGTTCAATCCATTTCTTTTCTTTTAGTTTGCTGTTCTTTCTTTTTCCCTTTCAGTATGCAGCTGATGATGATGAAGGGTTTTATTCCCTTCTACTAAGAAATGTACATATTCCTTGTATTTTTCTCTCCAAACAGACAAGTCTCATAGGCATACACAGGAGGAATCAAATGCAAAGCCTAAGGCCTCGTTTGGGAACGTGATTTTTTAGTAATTATTTGACTTTTTAGTTAAAATATGATGTAAAAAAAATTAGTATGTTTAGGATGATTTTTTGACTTTTTACGAAAAGATGTACAAAAAGTAGAGAAAAATGAGAATATTTGACTTTTTGGTATAAGGTGTTGACTTTTTGACTTTTTAATAATTTTTTGACTTTTTGACTAAACCGATCGTTTCCCAAACGAGACCTTTTAAGTTTTTGTTCTATGAAAAATGCTATCTTGAACATTACATTTGAATTTACATTCAGTAACATGAATTATTGTATGTTAATTTTTATTTGTTTAGAAATTAATTAATCTAAACTCAATTTCTTATCATGTCATTTTTTAAAGTGGTGTTTATAAGAATGGATATGGATGAATAAAAATATGTATTATTAGCGGTGAATAAGTAACACCAAACTTGATGGATGAGTTAAAAGAATAAGTCATTTGTACTAATTAATATATTAATTAGTATATTAATAGATGATGTGACATAATTTTAAAAATTTTGAATATTTGTAATTTGTATAATAAGTGAGGTCAGTAATAAGGAAATTTTTTTTTTTTTTTAAGGTCCCTGGTATTAAGATTCTATAACACAAAAGATATTCAATATTTTCATAATGTTTAAAGTCTCTCAAATCAAACCAAAGAAAATTCAATCTAGAGAAATTCTTTGGTCCAAACCAGAGAAAATTTAATCTAAACCAGAGAAATTCTCTGGTCCAAACCAGAGAAAATTCAATCCAAATTAGAGAAATTCTTTTCAAATCAGAGAAATTCTAGACTTCTCAAAGAATTTCTCTAGGTTCAAACCAGAGAAAATTGAAATTTTTCTGAGATCAAACTAGAAAAATTCAGAGAAAATTGAACATCACAAAGAAAATTAACCAAACCAAAGAAATTTTAGTACAAATTTCTCACACAGAGTATTGAAATTTCTTTGGCTATATTCTCTGGCAAAAACAACCCAAAGGCTAAAAAATATTATTTTTCACTTTTCTAAAAATTTCAACATAATCTTAGTAACCAAACAATCAAAAAATCATACCTAATACCCTTTCCAAGTACCATAAGTCTTCTTCAATGTTGTTCTTGTTTTTTATGCTTTCAAAAAGTAGATAAGGATAAAGAAATGGCAACCAATTTCGGATCATAGAAGCTAGGAAAGGTTGCTCCCTAGAAAAGACTACTTGGAGCTAGGGTTTGACCGATCTGAGGATCGTAGCGACGTTCGATCACTTCACGATAAGTTGGACAATATTCGAGAGCTTCTCCATTGACTTTTTGCACCATGTGTCCTTTCTATCTTTCACCCGGGCAGCATTGCGAGAAGAGAACCGCCGGAGATGGAAGTTTCCGACGAGAAAAGTAGAGATCAGAGACGAGCATAGACATGGCAGTGGTGGTGAATGGAGACGATCTGGAAGATCAAGATTGTTGCTTTAGAGAAAGAACATTTTAAAGAGAGAAAGAGACGCAGAGATGAAAGAGAGAGAGGAGAAGAAGTGAATTTAGCAGAGGAAGAGAGTTTAGAGTAAGAGAGAGAAAAAAAAAGAAGATAAGGTTTGATTTGAGAAATTTCTCTGTGATATATGAATGTAGGGGTTGAGGGACCTTAGACATCATAAAGTAATATTATGAATCTCTTCCATTACTAAATGGGAGAGGGACCTTAGACTAATTTTCTCCAGTAATAATGGCATAACACTAATTGATATACTAATGTATACATTAATTAGTACATGTAGTATCACCGTAGTTAAAAAAGACTATTATGTCATTTATTCTTCAATTGAAATTAGGAAAATGTCTCGTAACTCAAATTTTGTGGCTCAAAAGTGGCTCAAATGGCCAAAACGACGCCGTTTTGGTTATTTTTATATTGTTCTGTACTCAAAACGACGTTGTTTTGGCCATTTGAGCCACTTTTGAGTCACAAAATTTGAGTTACGTAGTATTGTCGTTGAAATTAAACCATTGTCAGTAGGATATGAACCGATCCATATTCAATGTAATGATTGTATAGTTGTGATGCAGATAAGATTATAAATGAATGAAAAATTATTTACAAATACATTTAGAAAAATAATGTATTAATGATGTTTTTAAAATTATAAATATAATAATAAATATCTTAACTGAAAATGAAAAGATGACAATAAAATAAGTCTCTGTCCAAATGGCTTCACTCTTTCTCACATGGGGCTTTGGCTGCGGACAAAAACAACATATCACTTAAAAAAAAAAATTAATAATAAATAGTAATTTATGTTGCAAAATTAAAAAATACATTAAATAGTAATTTGGGTTGACATTGCAAAATTAAAAAATACATTCTTTCGTAATTATTCATCAGGAGGTAAAAGAAAATAGTAATTTTGGTTGCTAACATGTGTGAATCACTTGGCGAAAATTTTATTTTTTTGCATTGTGTAATATGTTTTCATTTGAGGGTCCAAATGAGAAATGTCCGTAGTCATTATCAAATATTCTTCCTTTTTGATCTCATGTTCTTGTCTTTTGATATCAAGTACTTTTATCTCCTGCAGTGCTTGAATCATTTTTTCTTTTCTTTCAGCTTTTTCTTTTCTTTCTCAGCAAAGTGTTGGTTAAATGTCTCCAATTGTATACTCATTTTTTGGACTTCAGCTTCAACAACTTGATTTCTCCGAAATAATTCTTTTGCAGCTTTTCTACCCATAGGCTTTTTACCCCTTGCAGAGACACTATTCTCACTGATTTGATTATTACCAACAATTGGATTGTTACCAATACTTGGACTGTTGTCATCTTTAAGAGAAATACAATTATCCATAGGGGAATTAGGAGCTAAATTAGGAGAAAACGGTGTATGTATCTGTAGACACCCTATTTTTGACCGACCTTAAGACTCAGACGTCACTAGTTGAGCGCTCGGTGATATTGCATATTGTGCTCGTTCAGAAGTTTCAGAGTCCCGGCTGCAAGCCTTGCCTCTAGACTTCCAGACTATTTCATGTCTTGCCTCGGTTTGCGAATCAGGTTTTGTTTTCCCTGTTTTCTCTTCCCGAAGGGAGGGAGAGGTCTCGTAGACCATCTTTCAGTGGCCGTAGGCTACGTTTCGTGGTCGTAGGCCATTTTTTCCGTCTGGAGCCCGGTTTTCGATTTTTCGGAGCCGACGGTCGTGTGCCTCGGTTCAGGACCGCCTAATCACCTCCGTTTGCTCCGATTTTTGGTATACACCTTATTTTCTCCCTTTTGAGGAACACTGGGGTCCGAGAGACCAACTTCGTGGTCAAACGCCACCTTCGGTGCTTAACAGTCAGTTTTCGGGCTCCCGGACCGCGTGTTTTGGCCCCCGAACCTTCGTTTTGCATCGGTTTGGGTTCATTTTTGGTGGAGACCTTATTTTCGTTGTTAAAAAGGTTGTAGAAGAGTGGGAGGCTAGCAATTTTTCTGAAAAATCAGCTTTTTTTGGTCAAAAGTGATTCAGCATAAATTCGGGAAGGAGGAAAACATTGCACGGCTTCACCGAAACGAGCATAACTCTTTGCATACTTGGATTTAAGATATGATGTTACCACCATTGGAAAGCTTACTTCTGGGGCTTCATTTTTCACTCAAGAATCTCCTAAGGACAAGTTCGGGTGGGAGAGATATGGTTGGTTGAAGTCCGTTTGGACTGAATCTACGCGGCTTCACGAAAACTGGCATAACTTTTTGCACAGGAGGAATTTTGATGCAAGGTTTGCGGCATTGGAAAGATAACTTCCGGGGCTTCATCCTAGGGGGTGGCCGGCCACCTTGACCCTTTTGACCTGGTCGGCCGGCCACCTGAACTGGTCGGTCGGCCACCTTGCCTAGTCGACCGACCACTTTGGCCCTTTTGAGCTGGCCGACCATTTTTGCCCTCCTGAGTGTGTTCTAGCTGTGCCAGCTATTCTGCACTTCACCCACTGTTCGAGGGTCTCCCCTTTTGGGGAAAAATTTGAATTGGTTTTCCCCCCCTTTTCCTCCACTCCTCCCTCTATAAAACCAGACCCCCCAGCTCCATTTGAATTGGGTTACAAGAATTGGTTTGGAGCTCTTACATTAAATCTCCCTCTCTCTCTATTCCAATCCTCAAAACCCCTTAAGTTCTACACCATTTACCCTACACCTTATAGCATAAGGCCTCCATCCTCCATTCCAGCAACTTGAGGCTGCTTTCCAAAGGTGAAGAGCTCCCAAAATTGGTCCAAGAGCTGCTCTCTTTTAGGCCAATTTTTGCATAGTATTTTAGGCTTATTTGTGAGTTGTTTTGGACTTGGTCATAAACTGTAAAATAACTTTTTTTGAGCCCCTCTTCAACATTGTTGAAGGGCTCTCCTCTGTTTGAGGTCTCCTACTATCACTTGCCTCTTTATCTCTCTTTTAGGCCAATTTTTGCATAGTATTTTAGGCCTATTTGTGAGCTGTTTTGGACTTTGCCATAAACTGTAAAATGTCTTGTTTTGAGCCCCTCTTCAACATTGTTGAAGGGCTCTCCTCTGTTTGAGGTCTCCTACTATCACTTTCCTCTTTATCTCTCTTTTAGGCCAATTTTTGCATAGTATTTTAGGCTTATTTGTGAGCTGTTTTGGACTTTGCCATAAACTGTAAAATATCTTGTTTTGAGCCCCTCTTCAACATTGTTGAAGGGCTCTCCTCTGTTTGAGGTCTCCTAGTATCACTTGCTTCTTTATCTCTTTTTTAGGCCAATTTTTGCATAGTATTTTAGGCTTATTTGTGAGTTGTTTTGGACTTGGTCATAAACTATAAAATAGCTTGTTTTGAGCCCCTCTTCAATATTGTTGAGGGCTCTCCTATGTTTGAGGCCTCCTGCTATCACTTGCTTCTTTATCTCTCTTTTAGGCCAATTTTTGCATAGTATTTTATGCCTATTTGTGAGCTGTTTTGGACCTTGCCATAAACTGTAAAATATCTTGTTTTGAGCCCCTCTTTAACATTGTTGAAGGGATCTCCTCT